AACACGCAAATATCAAATTGGTGCACTGCTAATAAAAAGCTCAGGCATCGTCAAAACGAAAGACTAGTGCTACATAATACATACGAGCAAACCGAAACGTCTGTTATTACCATGGATTTGTGCAGGATGCTAAAAATAAAAATGGTTCCATGGGTGCATAAGTTGCTAATGGAAACATACAATGTAAACGCGACAGCGGAATGGGAACTTCGTAAGGCAATCTTCCGTGCCAGACAAGTTCACAATACTACTCCAAAAGACATTCCAGAGGATGACATGGATTTAGAAGACAAGAACTCAGATAGCGATGGGAGCATTGAAGTTAGAAATCAACATCAACTTGAAAATTAATTTTTACTGACTACTCAAGTGTAAATAAACATAACCAACTAGTTATCAATTTTTTTTCCAAAAAATAATTGCTCAAGTGAAACTGAAGTAAGAAGGTTCATCAGGCTCAGTTTCAGGTTTATATGCTTACTTAGTTTCCGTTACCTCTCAGCGTGTGTGTAATCGCAGCTAAACTCTTTCGGTCAATATGCCGTTTCAGAACAGAAACACGAGAGAAACCGCAACTCCTGAGACAAATTATGAGAAACAAAAAAAAATACTTTTTGCACGGAACATTTTGCTAGATTGTGCTTTGGCGTTTTTAAAATGTCAAGAACGATTCACATTTCCTGATAATCAAAACGTTCCTCATACTAATTCCACGGCTGGGAAGGGAACTAAACGAGCGACATATTGATTAGATAACTTCAATGCTTTTGTCTTTTAGTTTAGATTTATATTTTAATCATTTCAACTGTGATCAGTTTGAAGCTGAGAGCAAAATTTTTACTCAGATTTCCGCATAATGTGAAACCAGTCTGTAAAGCCTCTATTTTGCTTTTCGGGCAGTTGCCGTTCCCCTATCCGCATATTTTCTACAGACTCACTTTCAGCCAGGTGGTATAATCGGCTTTGTACAAAATTTTTATTATACTTCTTTGGCTATTAGATTTCCTATCGGACTCGTGAGACCTTGAAGGGGTTGCTGGTTAGTGTCGTCTAAATGAGGAATTCGGCTTAATGAATGTTTTTGTTGCGTCTGTCGGCTAATTGGTTACTAATGAATTTTTCGGCTTATTGAGTGTTTTAGCTTAGTGCTAGCCTCGATTCGTATCATGGCCAGTTCATGGTTCTTCTCAAAAATTTGTTGCTGTTTTAGGGCAAATTAATGCAAACTTAGATAATTTTGCTTTGTTTTTTCACTTAATTAAGAGCGAACTAAACAAACTAGTTTTACTTTTTCCGCTCCATACTCATGACTATACCTCTCGTGGAGTGCGGTCAGAAAGTAGACAGTCATAAATAAGCCGATGTCACGAGCCAATCAGAATCGAAAAAAGAAACTCTTTTTACTTCAATTTTGATTGGCTCACGACTTTGCATACTTTATGACTGTCTAATTTTTGCTAAGTAACCAACTCTCGTAAACTTTAGCGGGGGTTTCGTAACTGTAGCGGGGGTTATGTAACTGTAGCGCGGGTTATGTAACTGTAGCGCGGGTTATGTAATTGTAGCGGGGGTTACGTAAATGTAGCGGGCGCTATGTAAATGTAGCGGGAGTTATGTAACTGTAACACGGGTTATGTAAATGTAGCGGGGGTTACGTAAATGTAGCGGGGGCTATGCAAATGTAGCGGGGGTTATGTAACTGTAGCGAAAATACACAAATATAGGGTACCGTCCAAACATCCGATATTTCAAACATGCGAAAAACTAAAAAGTCAACACACATCCAAAAACACAGCTTTACTAGGGCAAACATCCGACATTTTTCACAAAGTAGGACAATGATCCAATATCTACCAACCGTTTAAAAGATGCTGTATAGGCCGAACTAATAGTGACCTTGCCAGTCGCCTAAACGTGTTGCGATCTAGCCAACAGATGGTTGTACTCTCTATAAAAATAAGAACTGACAACCGCTGTAACGCGCCCACCGTCGACCTCAAACCGACAGTCTGCTAAATTAGAATCGGTTATGAGTTGTCTTGTTTTAAATTCTTACGTCATATTATTACATAATTATTTCATATTTTCGGATGTTTGAAATATCGGATGTTTGCCCATGAACTACAACAAACAGGCGGAGCTTTGCTTCGCAAACACTAGCGAGAACACGACAAACAGCTCTATAAAGTGCAATAAAAAATAGAAATAAGCCTCGAATTAGCAAAAATTCGGTTACGTCGGGGATGCGCTCACCAACCTAGATTTTTTGAGTCTCACGCACTATCCACTCAGCCACAGACTCTTAATAGATCAAACAAAGCAGAGAACAGATGCTATGAAAATTCCAAAGCTGAAGATGTTGATTATAACAAAAGTGCCACCAAATTAGTGAACACTTTCAATGAACACTTTTATTTGCGAATTAGGTTAGAAAGAAAAGAATGAGCATACTAATACTTTACGCTTCGCAAGCCTGTTAGTGTAAAAACAACCTATAGTTGACTGCTTCTGGGAAATAAACAACTTAAACTGAGTCGCCCGACAATTTCGTTAAAGGGTGGCGTGATAAAGAAGCTGGCACACTTCGTCTTTTTTTTCGTCAAATTAACGTTGGCTGCTCATATCATCAACCGGTGGCCGATCGTCAAATCAACGTTGGCTGATCATATCATCAACGGTTCATCAAGGTTGATTGTTGACAAATAAAAGATACAAAGCCTGGCTTGAACTCAAGTGCAAAAAAAAGATAGCCGGTTACTGAGCAAAAAGCACAGAATTTTCAGAGCATAGTTTTTAAAAAAAACTACAGAGAAAGTACAAACTACAATTTCTTTTCAAATTAATGTAGTTTTTTCTGCGTGGTGTGATTAAGGGATCTGACGGAAAACTATAATTTAGGCATATTTGCCAGTCATAGCCATAAAGACATATTCGACAAAATTTTTTGTAGAAAAATGACACGAAAAACGAAAAAGTCAAAACAAAAATTTCAGAAAATTTTTTGAAGTTTTTTGTTCCCAAAATGGAGCTAAAAACTCCAAAAACTAAATTTATTTACTTAAAACTAAGTTTTTATGGCTTGAATTAGGTATAATTAAGCTGTTGCAAGCCTGCACGCCCGCGTTATTCGCTCAAATTAATATAAAAAAAATAGTTGAAATCGGTTTTTCTCGACAATGGGAAAGGTTTTTTTGGGAATTTTTCAATGCCGATCGAAAGGGTTTTAATATGATATATCACTCAGCTCTCTCTGATGATTATTTGTGGTAGCTGAAAAAACTAAAACAACCGAATACAAAGTTCCTTCCCATTTTGAGATGTTGCACCACGAACTACCATAAACTTTCAAATAAAATAATATATCAATTTTTTGCCTCTGAAGCGAAAAAAAAATTAACTGAAACGATAAAACATCAGCTGAAAACATCAAGGACAAATGAAACTTTTCAGCGAGAAGAAACAAAGAAAAACCAAGGAAAACACCTGCATCTACGATGAAAACTGCTGACAGCACAAAATAATTCGTCGATTTGGCAACTGAGACAACAGATAGGCAGACAAACAAAATACCGACAATTCATTTTTTCTCGGAAAAATTTCATTATCATACTTACTAAAAAAAATTAAAGTCCGGCCTGGACACGAACCCCAAGAGTGAGGTCACAAAGGCAACCGCGTTACCTTTAGACTAAGTGAGTAGTAGTCTCTAAGTTGCCAAGCTTCACTAATAAAGCAGTTTTAAAATTACTTTCTGTATTACCTGTTTTTTACTGTCTTACCCGTTAATGTAGTTTACAGGGGAAAAAGTTTAATTCCCGATTACAAGACAATTGCTCTCGCAAACTTGAAACAAAATTGCACATCAAAACCTTGCTGAGGATAGAAAGTGCAAAGCGCAAGCACAACACTAGCAAAATAATGCTAGAAAAAGGAATAAAAAAACATCATAACATTATGCGAAACATGTCCTATCAGACACAGAGGCAATGCTGCACTTCGTCAACACAAGAAAACGACGTTGAGCAGCTCTAAAAAACGAATTAATGAAAGACTACAAGTACCGACCTCGTGATTTGAAATCTCATTTCCTCGTATCTAAGTCACGGTCTCTAGAAAGTTTACCAACACTAGTCACCAATAAAATAGATATTGATGCTAACCAATTTTCAATCCTGTACAGCAAAAATGCCACCAATTATAAATAAAACTAGTTCCAAGTAGGTCATTGCACCTCCGAGCAGGAGATGAGGAGTATCACCACCTTCAATTTGTTCGATGCTCGCTTGAAGACCGGCAAACATTAGCCACCAATAAAATAGAGAACAGATGCTATGAAATTCAAGTAAGTTTTTTCTGACCTTAACACTTTTGCTGTTCGATAATGGAGTTTGTCTTCGTTTTAACAAAGGAAATGAACCGAACTTGAAAAAAAGCCAAACCGCAAAAAAAAAGTAAATTTGAGCTTGAACAAATTTCAAGACTTTTCCTTAAAAAAAACAAAATGATTACGACCTTTGGAGGAGTAATTAACACAGAGGCAAAGCTTTGCTTCTCAAACATTTGCGAGATCAAAACAAGCCTCAAATGAAAATTTGAAATAAGCCTCAAGTAAGCAAAAATTCGCCTACCTCTGAGTTTCGAACCTACGACCTGGAGATTAAGAGTCTTACACACTAACCACTAAGCCACGGAAGATTAATACGTATAATTAACCACTCAGTCACAAATAAAGCACAGAACAGATGCTATTTTCAATGCTACAGTGAAATTTCCAAATAAGTGAACACTTTTAATAGGAAGTTAGATTAGAAAAAAGAAGGTCCCTTAAAAAACACTAAGCTGATCGCAAATGTAAATACTCTTATTTTCAGGCGCTCTTTGCTGAATCGAACAAAAAAATCAGAGTAGCTTTCGTTGCTTATTTATTTTCTTCCCAAAACAAGACTGAATTAATCTTAAATCATAGCCTGCCTTGAGCCTAGCGATAGTTAAGTGAAAAATAGATTCCTCAGGAAATTTATTAATTCGACAATTGTTTGCAATATCGAACAATTCAATAGTTCATATACCGGATTTTTTCCAAGTAAACAAGTTAGACGCCAATGGCCCAGTTGATATGAAAATATCTCTAGCGCACAACAGAAAAAAGCATCGGTTGAATGAATTCCACTCTAGTCACGCCAGTCACCGAATTCGCTACATTTACAATCAGAATAGAAGCAACAATAGGTGCAGATTATTATATTCATATTGCGCAGATCAATTTTTCGCACTAACATTTTTGACCAATTCTGTTTATAACTAAAAGCAGCTCATATTCAACGAACGCTATTCAATAAATATTTCACATAACAACAAAAGCCATCGTTCAAAATACATCTTATCATTTGCTATTTGAAGCCTTGATTCAATTGAGACAAATTTTCAAAAGTTCCAGCTTCGGAAAACAATTCTGTCTATAGGGTGTGTCAGGCGTCACCCTTGGCTCCACCGGCGCCTCCGAACTGGAAGGGAACTGAACCGGATCCAGGTGCTGCGTTGGAACCAGGAGCGGCTGGGTTCTGCGAGACGAAGTTGAACATCTGAGGCACTGCGGTTTGCTGGAACTGGTATCCGCCGGCCTTCTCGATCTTCTTGGCCTCTTTGGCGGCGTGTCTCTGATCCGCTGACACGAATATTTCATCTATCTCTTTCCTCTGGGACTCTGAGAGGTTCTCAGTTAGTTTCTGGAACAGAACTGGGTTGCTGTCTCGGATGGCTAAAACAAGGGCAATTATGTTGGCAAAGAAATGAACCGATGAGGTGGATAAGACCATGTCATCAAATATCTTTCTTGGCTTTAAGAGACCACGTCACAAGACTTTACTTCCATTTAGAGGCGGATTTAAAATTTTCTCTGCGAAGGATTTTGCCGACCTTTTCTCAGGTCAACAAATAAATTTTCTGAGCTCTCCCAAACAACTGAGTACCCTAGTTTGACTAAAGATTGCACCACGGACAAAATTTCGAACACAAGAAGTCCAAAAAGGAGGTTTAAGGGCATACATCGGAATAGTTTTTCGGCCAACGCACCCCTTTATGATTTTGAGCTTGCCGTCCGAAAGGGTTGTACAAAATTACCCAACGGGAACCCTTAGACTGTTTAAAGGTAGAATCGCTGAGATGTTGGTAGCCCCTCTAAATACCCGGCTCTTAGGTTTCTTTTTTTAAAACTTCTAATCTGCATTTGTTGCGAAGTTTTTTTTGCTTTTGTTACGAAGTTGGTTTCTAAGCTGCAACGACAAACAGTTGCTCTGAAAGGGTCAAAAATGAAAAAAAAGAAGAGTAAAAAAACTAACTAAAATCTGTCGAACACCCCGACCTGGAGGTTAAGAGTCACCCGTCATAGCATCTGTGCCATTATCTCTTAAGAATCTTCAAACAGTAGCCACCGATAAACCAGATACAAAGATATAATGCTATGCAGCAAAAGTAAACCAATTATAACCAGATACAAAAATGCCACAAATAAATGAGCACTTCCTTTGCGACTTGGGTTGGAAAAAAATGGATATTTTATTATGGCACTACACTCCAATTATGTAATAAGAACCAAATAAATTATTTAGAAATTCAATGAGCTCTTAAGAGATCAGATATTTGTTCAATTCAGATTTAAGTGTCAAAGATCAAAAAGGTCGTGTGAGCATACCTGTGATTGTAGTCTTGAACACCATGAACTCATCCACCTCGCAGTCTTCTTCGTCCAGCGGGGTGGTGTAGCTCTCCAGATTAGTCTCCTCATCACATGCATCACTATCATCCTCATCGTCATACTCCCCGTCACTGTCATCCTCCAGCGCGATCTCTCCTGAATGGCGCACAATTTACGAAAACATAAAAAAAAACAAATCAGGCAGAGGTAGCAAAAACTACCGCTCAAAAATTACAAACGTACATTTTGTCAGAGCACAAGCATGCCGAATGGGAACGGTCGCTAGTGTTACTATTTTGCAACCTTCACTTCACGTTTTTTTTTACATCTTCCGATAATCTTGATCAAAATAGGGTGAGTCTGTCTACAAGACTTTCGCGAAGATAAAAAAAACGTTTAGGATTGTTTTTGAAGGTTTTGACGACAAAAAGTACGTTCTTCACGCCTTTGTAATGAAGGGAACATTTTTACGACGAGGAAAGGTCGTCTGCCACCAATCAGGGAATTCACCTATGCAATGGTCACTTTCGGCACTAATATATACTATTTGCGAGGATCCAAAACTAACACTCACCCCCTTTCTCCCTAGCGGCCAGTTTGAGCAGGTACTCTGCCTCGTCCTCATTGGGCGCATCCTGGTCATCCTCCACCTCCTCATCCTCCTCCGCCCCTTCCCCATCCCCCTCTTCCTCTGATTCATCCCCATCGTCATTCTCCTCCTCTGCTTTATCTATGAGAAGCAAAGTCCACAAGTAAACAAAAGTGCTATGAAAATAAAACCAACCAAAACATTCTTTACAGTTCTTATTGAGCAAAAAGAAAAACAAACCAGTTATATTAACTTCTTAATTTGCCAACAATTAAAAAAAAATTGCGGAGGGAAAAGGGGAAAATAAGTCATCCAGTGGGAGTCAAGAAGATCAAGTAGACAATATCACCTCAACTATTTCAAATGGTTTTCAAACGTTTTCTGTGATATCTAATTTGCATGGTTCTTAAGCATATTCTGCTGTTCATTTGACTTATTGCATCTCAAAATGATTGAAAATTCAAAACTTCCTGTCTTCATTCAAGCTGATATTAAACTAACACTGAAATCCAGGTTTCCATGAATCTTTACGATTAACTATTTAACATCTTGACCAGAAAGTTGTTCCACCTATTTATTTAATGATTCGCCCTTAATCCCCCTTAGTGTTTTGTACACATTATACGCAGAGGCGAAGCTGCAATTTGCAAACACAAGCGAGAAAAGGACAGAAATTAGCTCTAAAAATGTTGGGAGATATATAAAGTTGGAAAATTTCTAAAATCGGGTATTTACAGAGGCGAAGCGGAGCTTCGCATCATTTGCGATACAACAAAATCACTAAAAAAGCAAAGTAAAAAAATGAAAAACGTTGAAAAAAATCTAGGTTAACCAAAAATTTCGTATGTGTCCATGAAATACGTCTAGAGCCCAGCTAAAGATGGAAGCACGAGTTTGATATTTTCTGAATTCGGTATACTGATGCGGCACGAAATGCGTGATTTCAAAAATTGAACTTTGCCCAAAACCTTAGTTTATTCTCTTCTAAAATAAGTAAGAGAGAGATTTGAGATTCTGGAACTTTCCCAAAAACAAAAACCTTTCTCTTACAAAATTTGACGAGTAGCCGCAGGAAAAACTCGCGCAACCGCTTATTTCTATTGTAATTTTCATCTCAGATTTAATAGGGTAGTTTTTAAGATAATTCAAATCTTCGAAACTTTTTTTGCCAATAGCAAGTCATGGCCGGTAAAGTAAAGAAGATTCCCAAAATCGGGTTTCTCGATTGAACACTTCAAGGTAATTTCCGAGTAGAGTAAAAAAAACTTGTTTGAAGTCCATTTTTTTCTTAAAGAAACTGGGCGTAGAAAAATATAAAACTAAGCTTCCAACAACCTGGTGTGTCGATTAAATCTATGATATCAGAAAAGGCAAGATAGTTATAGAGAAATGTCCAAAAACGGTCAACAAATCAGAAAGTTGATATTTCCGAGAAGCAAAGCTTTCTTTTAAAAAAAAACTGGGCGTAGCAGTTAACAATCAAGTTTAACTTTTGCAAGAAGCATAATTGTGCAAAAAAGATTGGGCGTAGCCGCTTATGGGGAGAATTTTTCAAATCCTCACTATTTATTCAAACAAAATCTTAGATTTGTTAGGATAGTTTTTTAAAAATATAGGTCATAAATTCCTCCACAGACTTTTTTAAGTCTGTAGACAGAGTGGTACAGCAAAAAGAGAAAGAGACCAGGGGAGTATGGAGGCAAGGCAAGCAAAAACGTAAGCGGTATTTTTATGGATACCCTTTTGTGAAAATCGGTAGAATTGTTTTAGAGAAAAAAACTAAAAATTTTGCAAAAAGTGATAAAATTTTCTAAAGCTTCTCAAAAAAATTAAATAAGAAAACCCAATCCCATACACATTCATAACACCTGTTTTTATCAAACATGAATTCGAGGGAAATTAGTCAAGCAAGAAAATTGAAATTAAAATTAGCAAATGAACAAGTTCTACGAAATGGAAACGAAGTTTCAAGTTTTACGAAGTTTCAAGTTTTACGAAGTTTCAAGTTTTACGAAGTTTGAAGTCCCCAATGGAACCAGACTGCAGTAACTAGTTCTCACTCAGTAGTTTAATTTGAATTTTTATGAAATTGAGCATGTCAGCTGATAAGCAGCATCATATGACCTCTTCATAGCAGCATCATATGAATCACTGATTTTTTTAAAACTAGTTAATAGCCCGAAACAAAAAGTCTATATTCCGATTGCGGTTCGAAACAAATAGCCTTTTTATCGGTTCAATTGATAAAGAATAATGCATCAAATGAGTTAACTTATTACTAAAATAATGTCAAAGCACATAATATCAAAAAGCCGTAAAGGTGCCCCGAAAGTGACATCTATATTGCGACTTTGGCTGAAACAAAAGAAGTCGTACAAATACACACCACTCTCTAAAACTCGCAAGTGTAATGATATACAAATTATACAAAAAAAAACATTATACAATAAAAAATAGCCAACAGGCAGCTAGAAAAGAGTCAAGAACGCAAGGAAACAAAAAGTTACTGACTTGAGTTTTGAAAAAAAAGATTGGCCTTACAGCTATTTGAATTTTCAGGAACAATTTATGATTGACACTTTTTGACACAGACTAACCTGAGCTGCTCACCACTTGCGATACAAAAGAAAAAAATTTAAAAAAATCGAAAAGATCGAAAAACTAGATCTATAACATGAATAAAGCTAGTTTTGAAACAAAAACAAAACAAGACAATAGAATGTGTGACAAGCATCGGAAAGTAACGTATCCAGCGGTAGAAAAGCCGAAAATACCTAGTCAAAAGTCGAAAAAAATCAACAAGACTTCAAACTACTGAAAAGTTAATAAGTCCACCTCACCCTCCAAACACTTTATTTGCTCGTCAAAATAAACATTATCAGCCCGCTAAGCCGATATAATATAGGCCGAAACCTATTAAGCCCAAAAAAATGAATATACAAGCAGCCGAATAAAAATCCCTTCAATCTCAAAACACAGACACGCACACACAAAACTTTTTTGACTCGTCATAGATGCAATATGAAGCCAATAAGCCGATATACAATAGGCCGAAACCTATCAAGCCCAAAAAAGAGAAAATACAAGAAAAGTCGGAAAACAAATTGTTAGCATGAAAAACTTGACCTCTAATTCTATAGGACTTTTATCATTTTGCGCAATCCAGAGATCAGCATTAAAAATGTGTTTCTGTTGAAACGACACACAACTAGGTCAATAAGCCGTTAAAAAAGAGACCGAAATCATATCGGCAGAATAAAGTTTTTAAAAGAAAAAAAATACACTAATGTGAAAAACTTTAAAAAACTATACAATATGGCAAATAAACATCAGCAGAGTCATCAGCCGACAATTTTTTATGAAACGGACTATATCCAGTTTGAAAAAAAAAAAAACAGGTCCGGTCAGTTTCAAACCCAGGACCTTTGGCGTCCCAGGCGTATTCATTACCTCCAGACTAAGTCTGCCGAAGACGCTCAGAAATTTGAATTCATTGTGAACCAAGACACCAAATGATTCAAGCGATTCTGTTAAACTAGTTTTTAACCCGAAAAAAAGTCTACATTTCAGTTTGATAAAGCTTGCTTATCGCAAGCGTAAAAAAACTAACTCTCAATTTTAGTCTATTGAATCAATCAGTAAACTTCGTGGGGAAACCTGAAAATTAAATTCCATCTTCGAAATTATAAGACGATCACGTTTTCGTGAACTTTACACTTCTGCGGTTCGATAGTGGAGTTTGCCGTCCTGTTAACAAAGGAAATAAAATAAACTTAATTAAAGAAATCAAAAGTCAAACGGCGAAAAATCAAATTTGACCGTGAACAAGTTCTAAGACTTATGCTGGAAAATAAACAACCAAAATCAGCAAGACCTAAATAAGGTTTTTCACGACATATATATGATTTTTCACGGTGTTCTTGATTTCGCGGTGTTCGTACTTAAAATTATACGAAAAACTAGACATATGATTCTTTCATTATCCACCAAAACACTGCTCCCATTCTCAATACTACGATACGATTAAGCGGCTGGTACTCACACTGGTATGCCCTCTTGAGTCCACTGAAGAGAGTCAAAAAGGAGGGCATGAGGGTCTGCATGGACCCATTGACCACATCCACTTTGCCCCCACAGTGCTGCTGCAGCAGAGTACACAAACCCAGCACACACAGTTTCCTGTCAACACCAAACATCATAATAGTCCATAGTTGATGACATGTAGTTCGTGTAGTCCTTCATTATGACCCAACTGGTGTCTAATTGGTCACTATTTGCAAATTTTTCAAGTATTTCAGACTATTTTCAAGTATTTTGGATATTTTTTTTTCAAGTTTTCTTTTCAGTTTGCGAATTGAAATCAGAAATTTCGAATCATAATTGATTGTTTTTTTTGCTTAGAATATTTTGCAATGAGCGATATTTTGGACAAAAGCGGAGAACAAAAGTATCAAATCAAACTGATTGTTTGTGCTCAAAAACAATATTATAAAAGTATGCCTGTGATAATGGCTGTATATGTGGCTACCTGTCATGTAGTCCGAAGAAGCAGTCCAAGTCACTCATCCACTGCTTGAGGAAGGAGTGAGTGATGGGCTCCTGACTGTTGGGCAGATTGGTGGTGTTCAGGATATTCAGCACTAGCTCTGGGTTCTTATATAGAGCCGCAATCACAACCTATCAAACACATGTTCATCTAACCACTGTAGGCAAGTAAGAGCTTCATATTGATACAGAATCCAGTTTGCTACTCATAAAGAAGGCTAGCATATAACTTTTATTCGGCTTTTTTCACGCTGAAACTTCACAAACTTAATTTACTTATCACTGCAAAAGTAGTCGATCATATTTGAAATCGACTGAAATATCTGTGGCTGAGTTGTCTCTGCGCCTTGATGTATACGATTCGATTAGCGAAGCCTCATATATTAAACCGTCAATGTCATACAGTATAATGGCGTTGTTTTTTCGCTAATTTAGCTAATGCACATGCTTGTTCTAATTTACCTAAAAGCTATTTCAAATCAGAGCTTGACTGGAAAACGAAAACATAGCCAACTGACAGTTGGAAAAGAGTAATAAATGCAAGGAAACTGAAAAAACACTTCACTTGAAAAACTTTCGAATTTCAAAGAAAAAAACAGATGCCCTTTAAACTTTTTGAATTTCTAGAACAATTTGTGTTTAGCGCTTTTTTGATAACATTAACCCAATTTGAGAAAACTGGATCAAAAGGTAAAGTTTTTATTCCACTGGAAGTCTAAAAATTAAATTCCACTTTCGAAACCAGCAATTGTTCACGTTTTTTCTCGACATTTTCACATTCGTATTTGGAGAGTGGTATTTACATCACTTTCAACAGATGAATTTCAACTCAAAAAGTTCATATATACAAAAATCTGTAGTTATTGTGCATTTTAAGACTTTTTCGAGAAAAAAAAACAAAAAAAAGTTCATTACTCTTAAACAAAAAGTATACGCAATGGCACATCACAGAGTATACATGGCCGATGTATATTGAAACAATCTGTGTAGGAGTACGATGTCAAGATTATGCGTTAGTGGTAATAGAGGTTGGTCTACCTACCTGTATGCACATGGTTCTGAGTTCGGAGCAGGTGATGGGCTTGGAGAGTCTGTCGAAGATGAGTGTGAGGAAGTGGGGCATGCTCTTGTCCATGGTGGCATTGCTGCACTGCAGAATCATCACCTCCAGCAACTTGGCCGCGTGCATCTCAAAGTCCTCGTTCGACTCCTCATTCGTCAACACCTACTCGCCACAATCAATCAATCAAAACAATCAAAACTAAAAATAAAACGAGATGCTCACAAACAAGAATAGCATTCAACACAAAACAGCAAAAGCTTTAAATAAGTGTCACCGTGTTTTTTGGCTTCAATTTCAATTATTGGTTCAAACCATTACTGAAGATTTTCTTTAGGTCAGCCATTTCGAAACTCAGAATGACCACATTATGTGGAACATGCCGTTTTTGAGCGCTTTCCCCGCTCAAAATATATATACATTGCCTTCGAAGTGTCAAAAAGTTGACCAGCCACAAATGGCTGTCGTAAAATAATTCCAGCTAAGAGACCTTTTGGAACAAATTCAGAGGGGGTCTTTCCCATAATAGTCCCCCCACATATTATCAAAACCACTATATGGATAGGCTTTATTTTTTGCTCCCGAAGTAAGACTATCAAAAAATGGGGGTCTTTCCCATTACAGCCGCCCCAATGGAAGTAACAAAAAACTAGCCCCTCTACACTGTGATTTTACTTAGGGGAGGCGCTATATTTTACAGTAGGGATTGGGCTCTAAAAGGAAAGCATCGAAACATTCGGGCCCTAACACATGATTGGTATGATATTTACAGACCTGCCTGCAGACGAGGAACACTTTCTCAATCCTGGATGGGTCTGTCTCGAATGCAGGGGTGTCTACAGTGATGAAGTTGTGCAGAGGAGGCAGGAAGTCTAGGAAGTAGTCGTAACCCTCCTGTGAGAACATGGTGAACATGTAGTCCAACACCTGCCACATCGAAGCAGACACACTAGACACTGTCAGACTGTCCACAATAGACAGAATCTCCTCGTAGAACTCTTAACAACAACAACAAATCAGTGAGTGATCAACATCGATTTGTAGCAGCACTCAGTCGAGTCCCGAAAAAATATAACTTTTACAAGATTTCTTGACTGCTTTCTCATATTTCTACAAACCGTTTCAAGTTCAGATTAATTAATGAGATCAGCATCAGATATCAATAGTATAAGATATCAGAAGCCGAACCCTTGAACGCAACATGCTATTTTGCCGACCGAATTATTATATTTGAGGAGCGACGGCATAAAATTTCGACTTATTGGGATACTTTTAGTAACCTCGGAAAGCCAATGTGTTCGCTATTGTATCAAGCTGACAATTTAAAAAAAAACCTTGAAAAATCAGTCCTCTCCAACCTGTTGAAAAACACAGATCCGTACTTAACGCTTGTTTATGTGAAGGATAATGTTTCAGTATAGATTTTACATTTAGTTATGCATACAAGAGATATACATTAGCTGTAACGTTCGAAGAGAAAGAACAGATTGACCAACCATATTCCGGAATCCCTAAATGTGCAAACGGAAACAACTCAATTGGCGCCGATTCCTTTTCGGGTGAAAAGTGTTCGCGTGCGATTAGAGAAACCAATTTAACTGAAACTTTCTTCCTGTCGCCTTGTCTTTACATGTCATGTTATTTGACCAGAGAAGGAATTCTTAGGGTTCAAAAAGTGTACCTATATATAGGGGCGGATCTAGAATTTTCTCGAGGGGGGCGGACTTTCGAAAATTTTGTCGACCTTTTTTTTGTCTGAAAAATGCAGTCCAATAAAAAGCGTTTTTAAGCACTTTTTGGAAAATTTTGGTTAAAAAAATTGAGTTTTTTTGGCGCGCGCTCCCCTCCAAATTAGGTCTGCCCAAAATGGATTTCTTAAAAAGTACCAAAGGGGGAACCGCCCCTGCCTATATATCACACTAAGATACGCTTGTGAGTGACAGTAAGTTTCTGTGAGTGAACTGAGAGTGTGGTGTCGTTTCGTGTACCTTGTGAGTTGTTCTGCAGCACATATCCGACTATGGACAGCACTACTGGCTCCAGCTGCTGCATGATGGGCTTGTTCTCCTCCAACACATTCACCATACTCTCTATCGTGTTCAACAGGCCCATAGCCGTCATGGCCCTAAATAAAAGACATACAAACACTCAAACAAACAATATAAAGATACTACGCATCTCGTATACTATCACCCCCGGCTGATATGTTATAATAGGTGGCATATTCAAGTTAAATAGCTGGATCGCTCTTTTTATACTTCGAACAGTTTAAATAATTTATTTCAAGCCAAACTTTTTTGGCAACAATAGCGTAAAGTTTGATTTGATGAATACCAATTCATCTGGCATAGTAATATAGGCTTTTAACATAGGGCGGGGGGGGGGGGGGGGGCAAATGTTAATTGTTAAGTAGATTAAAATAACGCATTTTTGACCAATCAGAATGCAAAATTCTAATTCTCAATAGAAGTGCTAATTAATTGCTTTTATTAATAAGGGTGACTATTCTTAAGTAGATACCAAAGGAGGGTGGCAATTGTTAAGTAGATCCGTAATATATTTGCAAAAAAATATCTTAATAGCATGTAAAAATGATTGAAAGTGAAATGACTAAATTACGCATTATAGTTCTCAAATTTAATAAAAGTACAACTCAAATAGTTCTCAAAATTGCCACCTATAGTAACATATCACCCACACCCCTATGGTACTTAGTAAAGAACATCCACCTCTATGAAGAACTCAGCTTGGAACTCATCATGCCTACCTGTCTTCCACATTTTCATCATCATCTCTCTCCAGCACCACTTTGAATGTATCTGCCAGATGTTGTGCAATGTTCACTGCGTAGAGTGCAATGTCCTCCTCGAAGTTGCCAATCAGTCGCTGGATCACCCCGTTCAGATCGTCATTCACTGTCTCTCTAATTAGCATCAGCACTGTCTCTAGCACTTTCGGCACCACTGGTTTGATTAAAGCGTGTGCTAAACACAGACACTGAATGTAACTGTAACATTGAAATAAATTTAAATAGTTTCCGAACTCTAACAAAAGACAAACTTTCTTGGTGATCATGGTCTAAAACAATTTATTACGCTGTAGATTTCCTTAACTTGCCATGGTAGCAAGACATATTACCCTATTCTAACTTATCCTCTACCAAACTGCCCAATACCATTTTAAACTATGTTCCAACTTGGCCTATGCGATTTTACCCTTCTTTCTAACTTACCCTATGCTAAATTGTACTAATTAGTTGTGTCGCAATTAGTTTTTTCTTTTGAAGTACTAATTAAAAACCAAATTAAAAAATTTTTAACCTGCACGTGTTAATTCATTTAAGACCAGCTTTTAGGACTCAATTGAGTCGCAAATTCAGACTAATTTCTGTGAAGACGCAATTTAGCGCTTTGCCTAAATATTGTATTTTATCATAATCAACCAAGTTTAATCCCCAAATTTCACAATTCAGGGTAGAATGAATGCAAAAACTGTTTCAATGTTTATTTTATTATTCAAAATTGCAACAAAAAATGAGCAATTTCTTGTAGATTATCGCAACGCAATCGTCTCACTCTTAAAAATGATGGCCATGAATATAGCACGAAGCAAGAGGCGAAAGAGACTGGAAACGCTCAAGATGGAACTCCCACAATTGCAGGTTGACAGCTATCACATTTGGCGATGATCTGATTTCCTCACACAATGATCACAGCCACGAAACCTTCCCTGGTCGATCGGATGCACGAATTCTTATTCAGAAGATGAAACAAGATGCTAACAACCAGCAAGTGCCGGTTAACAGCAGTATAATTGCAACCTTCCTGCATTCCGTAGCGGACGAAAAAGTTCTGCTATTAGCTTTACAATCTCGATCTGCAATAAATTGGGCTGTAAATCGACATAAAAACTCTTCGCCTCACCAATTGTTGATAGACAGTTTGAAATACCGAAACAATTTGAGAGCTTCTGCTCTTTCGACAACGGTAGCGAGGATGCCGAAAGAGTTCTCATTTTCGGCGATTGCGACAAGGTGAATGATCTTGAGTTGAACCGAGACTTACGGCTTTGTGATGACACCTTTAAAAAACTCCCAACGCAATTTTATCAATTATATACAATCCACTTACAATTGGCAGGTTTTTATCCCCCCCGTGCATTTGTGCTTTGCTTCCAAATAAACGAGAGTTTACCTACAAGAAGTTTCTCAACGGTTTGTCACAGCTTATGCAAAATGCCAAGTCCAACCGTATTCTCGACTTTGAGCGTGCTACTATCAACGCGTTCTCTTCTCACTACCCCGAGGCACATATTAAAGTTGGCTTCTTTCATCTAACTCAAGCCTTTAACCGCAAAATCAACGAAGTCGGTTTGAAACGATTGTACGGAAGCAACAAATGAGCTCAATTTGGCACTACGGCTCATTCCTGTGATAAGTTATGTACCAATTGACATGGTCACCGTTGCTTTTGATCAAGTAATCGAAAAACTCGAGAAAGTTGCTGATTGCGTTGAGCTAGATGAGACCCTTGGTGAAAAACTGGATGAGGTTGCATCTTATTTCCAAAAAAAGTTACATCAAAGGGGAGACAATAGGTCGCAACAACCGAGAGCCATTATTTCCATTAACTTTTCCATTATGATAAACTAACTTTTTGGGCAACGATTAACAACTTTTACCGAGAACAATTATTATTCGACCCATTGATGATTCACCCCAAATTCATCAGAACTTAAATATTCTGATTTCAACAGCATAAAAATTCACCGCCACAATAAAAATCACCATGTCCATTTTTCCTAAAATGCAGTCGCATACAGTCCTAAAATAGTTACTCACATTTCTCCTGACTGCCAATGACTGAGTGAAGAGCTACTGCTGCATTGACTTTCACCGGCAGCTGCTCCTGTTCACTCAGAATGCAGTTCAGCAGACCCTGAGTGATGTTGGCAAGAGTGGAGTCGTCTTTGAGTTTAACCAGGGCGAACTGATTCACCACCCAACACGCTCTCGCACGCATGAAGCCAAACTCACTTGAGAACTGGGGAATCACCTACACAAACCCACCCTCAACCATAACATTCAAAATTCTATGCTGAACATAAAAGAACGGACAATTTTTCATTAAGTTCGGAGAATTTTTCATTGATATAGGTTCTTTCCATCAATTTTCCACGATGGAACGGACCAACATGCTAGCTACGGAAACTTTGACGGCGAAGCGCTGTTGTGCCCCTAGATTACACCATCATGTTGTCTTTTTTCCCGCCCTTTTCCCGGATGGGCGATGTTGTCTCGCTCTCAAGCAAAGCGCTTGGATCAACCTGGGCTTAATGCCACTGACCAAAACAAGTTCATACTAAAAAAAAACATTGAAAAAACAAGTTCAAATCTTTGGTATTATTTTATGACATCCATTTTGGGCCGACCGACTCTAAACATTTTTTAAATGTGGCTTCGGCGCCAATATATAGTAATTTTGAATATGAGCGTGCGCCGAAAAAAGGCTTCGTCAAAATTTTTTAAAGTGCCAGAAAACGGCATTTTTAACGTTTAAAAAAAAATTGTTTTTTTTTGTGTTCTCGGAGCGCTCTGAAAAAAATCTACAACATTTTTTTTGAAAATCCGCAGCCTCCCCCCCCCCCCCTCCACACACACACACACACACACACACACACACACACACACACACACACACACTCGAGAAAATCCTAGATCCACCACTGGATATATTTGAAGCATAAGATCCCATAATATCTATCCATATCTATTTTTCACTAGGTGTTGAAATAAACATCCAATATTTTTTGAAAGTAGTTGCTACCTGTGACACGAGCATGTTTTCCACTTGCACTTTGTACATCTTCTTCCTCAGCAGCACATCTGCCAGACACCCGATCAGCCTCAGAGCCCCCTCCCTCTTCTGGGGTTCCATAGGGGGGTCTACTGCAGTCAACACACCCACCACAAACTGTAGTGTCTGGGGCAGCACCTGAGAGACGAATTTGAAAAAGTAAACAATTTCAGATGTAACTCATCTAGAACACAAGGTTCAGGAAAGGTGAATAAATTACTTTATTATGTTAATGCAACTACAGTATCTTCTACATAGATATTTTTCGATACTTTCAAAGTGATCCGAAAAACTGCCGGGTTGTTTTTCGAAGTATTTTGTTTTGATAATACACTTTGCTTCGCAGGTGTTAAAACAACCAGGGTAGAAACACCAAACATACTTCAAACGATATATTTAGTTTAATGTCCAAAACAATTAACTTAATTCAGCCATGGGCTTCAATCATAGCAGGCGTCTTTTCAAAACAACTATGAGACGGGATTTAATGTTGTTTTCTCCTGCTTCAACGTTTGCTTTTTGTGGTTCCTAGACCCCTCTAACGAACGAGTTTTAGTGTAGGAGCCTATGGTATTAACTAATTCTACTATAAAACTGACCTCTTTCCTCTTGCTGCATGCGAGTATGAGTAGTGTCTCGGCGGCATTGACGGGCGAGTAGAACTCCTCGAAGATGTCGAACTTGGATCTGATGTACTCCAGGGGGTCCTCATTCCACAGCTCCTCGTCCTCCTTCGAGAAGCACAGGAGGGGAAACAGCACCTCCCGGATCAGAACGGGCAGTTGGGTCTACAACAGATGACATCTTTCAGCTTCAGTTCATTGTTTTGACATAGATTTAACAAACGCGGCAAAAACTCACCGGAAATATTGAAAGTTTAAAGCGAAAACTACATTAATTGGTAGATTAAGAAATCGAAACCGATTTCCTTTCAACTAAAACTTGTGAAATTGCAAAATTTAAGTACAAATTACAGAGATTCAAATCGCCATTGGGAATAATTATAAAAAGCGACGACAGAAAACAAGCACCTTAATACAATATATGATGCTTCCATTAGATCAAAATAAAGAAAAAATCCTCCCCGAAAAAGAAAAACAAATATTGGGAAAACAAGTTCTTTGTGCGTGACCTTCATTTTGAGCCAGCATATTGAGTGGTTGATACAGAGAGTGAGGTACTGCAGAGTGTGTTGGAGGACTCTGGGAGCGATGAACAGACACTGTCGCTTCTTCTCCAGCACAGACAGACACGTGATCATGCCAGGGCTCGAGAGGGTCTTGAGGAACCAGGCGGCGAACTGCTCGTACACATTCGAGATTAAATTGCCAGGACTGCCGAACCTGAAAGAGGCAAGCAAATGGCTAATAACTAATAGCCTCGACTATCGTACACAGAAGCGTGAAATACCAACTCAGGTATGGATCTTAATAATTTAGGAAACCAATAGGAATCTATGCAAATAATTTCCGACCATCAATGAAAAATGTAAAAAAAAGTTTAGTTTAATTTTATCGTAACTTCATTTCAGCATAACAGAACACGCTTTATTAGTACACAAATCTGATAGATACCAGCCTCTTCAACACTAAAACGTTCAATTTTCATACAAGATGAAGAAAATGAGAATTAATTTACACTTCGGACTTAATTCAATAATTCAATTTAACTATTTTTTAAATTTATTTCAGAAATCAGTGGAACCCTCTATTGAAGTAGGAACTACTTTTTATCGAACATCTTAAGAATGCTGGGTTAAAACTTTATAAAAGGTTAATTTATGAATTTGTTGACTGACCTCTCGAACAACCTGTGCATAATTCTGGACGCCCACTTCTTCACTTTCCACCACACAGACGTCTCCTTCTCATCGTCATCTTCAAAACAGTTCACATGTTCAGGCACCTCTTGTTCTAGAACATTCTGACACATCACAAACCACTGCTGACAGCTCTCGTTACTGATTGTGTCCAGAGGGTAGAAGTACTGGGTGACACAGTGGAATATCTTGAGGATGAGTTTGCGCATCTCCACTACTGGATCACTCTGATCTGCTAACATGGCAGCTGCTCTGGAGTAGAGGAGAGGAAGCGCCACTTTCAACACCTCGTTGCGAGCACCACATTCTTCTGATTTCTTATATCTACACATATCACAATTGAATCATCCAAACTCACAAATCTGGTTAACAGGATATCTGATAAATAATCACATTTCGCAAAAAAACAGCGCCAGCTAAATTTTGGTTGTCATGGAAGATTTTTTTTTCATAGTACAGACTCGTTTCATTTTTATCCATTGAAAGATTCATGATATTTTAAGATGTTCGCAATTGCTTCCCGCATGTCTTCCAGGTGACCTGCAATACTATCCATAACAGCAAGGGATTTCTGGGGCGATGGATGCGAAACCTCCACAGCCTAAAGGGTCCCCATTTTGGCACTATTTAAAAAACAACAAGCCTTAATTTGCTGTTAACGTACCTTGGGCGCCTATATCAAATAGATTTGAAGGGGACACTCTATAAAAGGCTTAATGTTGACATTTATAGTTGCTGAAAAAAATCTAAAAATGGCACGAACAGTTGTTTGAAAAGCCACTTCCTCGATAAAATCCGAGATCCTCCCTTAATCCATAGGCATGACACATGAATTCAAAAAAAAACTTTCATAAGACACGAGACGAGGTCAAATTTAACTGATGTGCTAAATCGACTAGACAAGGATGTATTGATTGAGCCTTACGAGTAGCACTTGCACAGTTGGTGTAGGATGACCAGTCCGGCCGAGAACTCCTCAGGAGTGTTGGAGTTGAGTTTGGCCAGGATCTGGTCCGCCAGTTCGGGCCACTTGGAAGGGAAGTCCTGCTTGCAGATGCTCTGGAACGCCGTCGACAACTGGTTCCTATAAATAGCTCAACTACACTAAACTAGAGCATATAAAACTTCAAATATTGCAGACTCAGCCGTGCAATTTAGTCGTAATGGTGATCAGCTTCGCAAATCCCTCGTTTTTCTCCAATAATTTCTCTATTAATGACTCTATTAAGCAATTAATAGATTAATAACTTTGCTGAAATCAAACCAGTTTTCATTTCAAAGTCAACAGCACTGTCGTGTTATAATTATTCGGTCAAAGTGAAGGTCAACTGCGACTGACCTGAGTAGTCTGGGTGACCTTGAGATGGCTTCTACAATGACACCCCTGATGAAGGCCTTGTCGTTCTCGTGGATGGAGAAGGGCGGCACCTCCCCCTCCACACTGCCTTTGGGGGGATCCTTCTCCTCCCAGTAGTTCGTGATCATGTTCTTGAAATAGATCGCGGCTGAAATAAAACACGTAATATAGATGACCTAATTTCGTATAACATTACATATGCAATTAAATATTTCTTCTTTTGTAAGTTCGACCGATTATAATATTTTCATTTTTTTATTAGGATGAAAATAGGTTATAAACAATCTTCAACAATCAAATTGCTTAGAAACTTATCGATGGATAAGTTGTATCTAGAACTTCTAGTCATGGAGGAGGGGGAGGGATAGCCAAGATCATGACATACCTGCTTGTCTGGTTGGTTGTTGCACTTGGTCATTGGTCACTACTTTCAGGATGCTGGGTGCGAAGTCGATGATTTTGAAGATCTGAATCAACAATACAAACATTTGCTCTCATAGTGTAAAAATCATACCATATGTTTTTGCATAATTTCTCTCCATAGTATTTCCCCATTTTCTTCATTTCATCCATTTATTCGCAAACTTCATCGTCTTATTTTTATTGTTGACAAATTTATCAAGGCAAGTGCTTAAATTTTGTGTCACTGTGATTTCTACATAATAACTCAATGAAATTCGGGGAATTTCTCGCAAATCTTTCTCGTAAACTAAAGCTATATTTTGTTGTAAAAAATTTCTGATGAACGTGCTCTCGAAATTTTTCGATAACGTTTTCTGTACATTTGAAACAGCCAACAAACACCAGGAAAAACTTCAACGAATTCAGTAAAATCAACGAAACATTAGTTACTTTTTCACAAAACTAGCCGAAGTAAATAGATATTTTTTATTCCGCTGGCATATATGAAAATTAAAATCCGATTTCGATATCACGTTCTCCTTGCGCCATTTGCACTGTCGTAAATAGCAGTTTCGTGCTATAAGTCAACATCAATTGGAGAGTGGAATTCGCCTTCCTTTCAACAAATGAACTGAAATGAACTCAATTAAAAAATCTTAGTCAAAACGGCAGAAGTCGATTTCAGTATGATCAAACTAAGAAAAAGTAGAAAAAAAACCATTAAAAAAAGTTCAAAATCATCACGACCAATATAATTGTCTTCGCTATGTTCATTGACATTAAACAACAATTAAGCCTAATCGAATTACTGGCAGCATACCGTGTCGAGTTCCTGTTCCGCATCCTTCTGTAGTTCTGGATCGAGCGAGCTCTGGAACAGGGTGCAGATGCTCTCCACGTCCATTGTGTATTGCTGTTGTACTTACTTCTTCTCTTCTGCTTCTACTCTTAGGTGTAGTCTGTTAGGCTCAGGTTCAGTTCGCTCTTCAGTTCAACACATCAATCAACAGCACACGGCATCAACTCTGAAAAGGAGACAAAAAACTATAAAATCACCTTTTCAACTACCGGCGAGTACAGAATTTTTAATTATTATCCTCAAAGGTAACACGAGGAGACAAATTGTAAATATTTGTACGCATTTAAAAATACCACACGTAAAGTTTCATTAATCTTTTCCAGTTTTAATTTTTTCACACAGAGGCGAAGCTCGGCTTCGCAAACACTAGCGAGAACACAATGAAATAAGAAAAATAGAAATAAGCCAAGAATTAGTAAAAATTCCACGTCGTGTCGGATTCGACCCTGTGATCTAGAGATTATGAACCTCAAGCACAAACCACTCAGCCACAATGACGCTTAAAAATTCAGAAACACTAGCCGAATCAGAACATAAAACAAAGAACAGACTATGAAATTTCCAAATGAGCTGGCTAGTGTAATAATAGAAGATGAGGGTTCAAATTTATATCTTTTAAACACTTCACGTGCACTAGCAACACACTCGGTGGTCAAAATTTTCCGCAGCAAGCTAGTTAGTTGATCACAGACAACTCCCCTCAAAACCAAAAAATTACCTCAAATTCAAATTGCGCTGCATCAAACTTAGAAACAGAAGTGAAACAGCACAATACAAGAAGATACAAATGATGGTCCACGAAACCAAAAATGATTATGACACAGAAGAAATTCGTCAGTGTGAACTTTTTACTGAACGAGATCAGACCAGTCACAAAAACTACAAATAAGTTTTTTCTACTTCATTTTCACATTAGTCTCATTTGTTAGGTGTAATGTGATGAAACGACTATACGAATGCGTGCAACGTTGTAAATTAGACAAACGACAATAAATAACAATCAAAAATTAACAAAAAACCAACAAAAATGTTTTGTTTTGGAGCTGAATAATTTTGTGTTCCCAAGGAAGCATAAATGAAGGTATGTAAAATTATTTTTCTCGGAGTAAACCCAAAATTTTCATTACGTAAACGAAAACTTTAAGTCTAATTTTGAGCGAGTAAAGACGTGGTCGCTGGCTTCTCTCGCTCGAAATTAAGTTAAAATTAAAAATTTCAAACCGGTTTTTCTCGACACTGGGACAAAATTTTGAAAACTCTTTTTATTATAATTCAAATCACGGCTGAGATGTCTTTAACATGATAAATCACTGGACCCCTCATGATTATTCATGGTACCTATATTTGATTGAAAACTAAAACTAAAATACAGCCGAAGACAAAATTTCTCCCCATTTTCAAATTTCATTACAAAGCCCAAACTTTAACCCAAATTCAAATAAACAGAGTATCAGCTACGATTTCGCAGCTCAAGTATATTGACAATCAATCTGACGTTCAGTCTATCATAAAAAGTCTGCTTAACTTCTCTGAAAACTCCTTGCTACTGCAAATAATCTGAAAAATATCAGACACCGCAACTCAGAAATTCAAATATTTTAAAACGGAAGAGATTCAGAAGATACAGCTCTAATCTTTGCTCTAATCTTTGCCCTAACATCCCGGGAAGTTCAATTTGCGCCAAATATGCGAGGTCTTCTGAATTTAAATCAACTTTAAATTGTTTAGAAGCAAAAATTATGCTAACAAGTTTGAAAACTTCACACAGGCGAGGCGGAGCTTCGCACCACTTGCATGACAACACTAGCATAAAAAACGTAAGTCGAAACAAAAATGTTGAAAAAAACTAGGTGAGCCATTTGGTATGACTAGATTAAAAACAACTAGGGGCCAACTAATGCTATATTGAATGAATTTACTATACTCATGCGGCACGAAAAATCCTTAGTTGTTTCTCTACTAACATAAGTGAGAAGAGTAAAAAAATTTTTTTGATATAATCAGTTTTCTAAAGAAATAAGTTTCATAAACTGCTCAAAAGTTCCATAAAACGGAAAAGGTTGTGGCCGATTAAGCAGAGAAGACTCCCAAAACTGGGTTCACTATAGAACACAACCTGAGAAATGGCACGCGAATTCAACCCTAAATCTCAGATTTGGGAGGGTAGTTCTCGAGAAATGTCAAAAACTTGAAAAAAAAACGGAAAAATCAAAATTTCAACTTCTCCGAGGTCCACAAATTTTAATGTCAAAAAAATTTGGGAGTAAGCAAATGAGCTTCCTACTACCCGTTCTTTGAATTGAACCCAAATTCGCAAATATTTCAGGGTAGTTTTCGAGAATATTTAAAGTTTAAAAACGATCCACAATCGAAAACGTGACTATTCCGAGGGCCATAATTTTGTTTAAAAACAAATGGCGCGTAGCCACTCATGGCGGGAGCTTTTCGAAACCGTCCTATTCATTGAAACCAAAAACTCAGCTTTGAGAGTAGTGTTTTGCGAGAAAACGAAAAAAAATCAAAAATATGGGTCAAATAATCCCCCACAGACATTTTGAAGGCTGTAGACAGAGGGGTCAAGTAAAAAGAGACTCTAGGGGAGTATACAGGCACACAGAGGAGTAGGCGGTCTTTCAATTGATACCCAATTTTGAAAATCAGTAGAAATTTCTGAGAAAAACTAAAACTTTACCAATGAATTTGGAAATAATTTTCCATTATGAAAAAAATTCAACAAACCGATTGATAACCATACAACCAACATGAACTGCGGAGGGTAGTATTCCAATGACCCAAAATTAGGTGAGTAAGCCGATAACAATAGGCCGAAATATTTCGGGGCGAGGAATTTTTTTTAGCGAAACAAAAAAGCAAAGAAGGAAATGTGAAGTGAAGGTTATAAACACTACCAATTTGTGTGAGTAAATCAATCACTTAAAGAACAATAAAGAAAACTGCGCGCAGCACAAACAAGTTATTTCAAGATGTGAAATTTAAGCCGACAACAGATAAACAGACTGACCACATGGGGAAAGAGTAAAAATGACCATCACAATTTTGTAAAAAACGACCATAACAACATAAAAAAGTGACCAAAAGTGACTTCGCTCTCCAACACTCAAACAAAAAAAAAACATTCAAGGCGGTCAAAAAACTTAATTTAGCAGTAACTAAACTAAAAAAAAGTTGTTCGATGACAAAGGTAACGAGAAGTTCTCTTGCCGAAAACAACATAGGATATCCAGAATTCAAAGCGAATCTTCCCATTATAAGTTGTCTCGTCTAGATGCAGGGCATAGCGTTTCATAATAAGCTGATTTCTGAGTTAGTTCATGACCCACGGGGCAATTCAGTAGGTTAACATTTTGGAAAGGTGACTTTGAGACAAAGAGTGACATAAATGTAACCAAAAGTGACTGGTCACTCATGAGTGACCAAAGTGGTCAGTATGCAGACAAATAATTGGCCGAATATTTCCCGTTGGAAAAAAAACAGGTTCTGGTCAGTTTCAAACCCAGGACCTTCGCCGTCCCAGGCATATTCGTTACGTTACCTCCAGGCTAAGTTGCCTGGAACTAAATAGAGCTTTGAATTCATTTTGAACCAAGATACATGTGATTCTGTTAAAGAAGTAGTTAACCCGAAAAAAGTCTACATTCCAGCTTGATGACGCTTGCTAATCGCAAGCGTAATAATTAAATCGTAAAAAATAATTTCAACATTGTTAGAAAAACTTTCCGTTTTTCCTTGTATCTCGTATCAGAAACACAAAACAAACGAATATAAAAACAATTAAATTGGAGATTATTCGCAAGCTATTTTTGGAGGAAAAAAACGTTTTTTTTTTCTTATCAACAAGTTTTGGAAACTCTAGCCAATGCTAAAAACGTAAGTGCACATTCGCGCAAGAAATTACTTGATTTGAGATTGTATATACTGCGCTTTTTACCGCGTTGATTAAAAATCGAGTTTCAGGCACCGTTGCAGATTTGACTCATGTCTAATACATATTGCACATGTTTTGAAAATTATTTAAGAAACCGAAACGAACTAACATGGAATATTCCTGAACCGTCCACTCTTATCGGCGAAAAATGCTAGAATTCAAACGAACTAAAATTTTTCCAAAACTACACGCATATTCTAGACTACGCTCGATGCAAAATCTTCAATGAGAAAAATATATTGCTCAATGAGAAAACTAACGTTTCATTTTTCTTTGCTTTTGCAAAACACAGGATTATCTTTGAACAAAGAACAATACCAAACAAAATTTTTTTTCAGGCTACGCTTGCCAAAAACAATGGGAAACAACATCGGGGCGCATTAAACTTTATTTCAATTTATATTCTTTTAACGAATTATACTTTTCGCTAATACTGATAAAAGCGCACAAATTTTCAGGCGCTTTTAAGACTGCAGTCACCAAAAAAAAGTTGTCGTTTAGAACGCATCAAAAATTTGTATAGTAACCCAGTCTGAACAACAAGAAGCATTAAGGACAAGCTGTTTCTATACTTGAACCTTCCGTTTCAAATTTCATCCTCTTTAATCATTCACGCTAAAAACTGGTTGCAAACTTACATTGCCAGACGGCAAAAACTTAGCAACTTTTCGCAATTTTACAGAGAGCCAGTAAATGATAGTCGTAATACATATAGTAGCCAACTAAAATCTTCTGGCCTTCGTATTTGATGTGAAAAATTTTTCCAACTTCAGCTTTCTATGGGATTTCTTAAGTGAAACATAGGCTCTTCTGAAGAGTAAAATATCTTCAAAGTTGGTGGTTTTCATGCCGGATTGAGAAAACACCTTCAGATATTTGTCGTCAATTTGTCCAAACTTGAACTTAACCAAACTACACCTTCATGATGACGCCTTGTCCTCGGTTTTTATAAAAACAGTTACAAAAGGAGATGCCCGTTTTTGCTATATTGACTGATCATTTCGAGCCTGAAAGTGGAACTAAGTTTCCATTTTCAAAAAAAAATCCCTAGAACTTTCGTAAAAACTCAAAGCGCTTGTTTAAAAATCATCAAGGCCTATATAAGAGTCTTCGCTGATCATTGACTGTTAATAATTTAATTTCGTTTCAAAAACAACGCTAGATGGTTGGCTTTATACGCATTTTCTAACAGTCTTAAGCATATAATGTTTTCGAA